GACCCTCCCTGACTTTCCAGCCTCCGGGCTTGCCGCCCCTCACTGCTTACCTCTGCACTAGCCTGCAGACTCTATTCTGACTCAGTACTTGTTTCCTGCAAGAGGCCTGGGAGTAAGTGTCTTAGGCTGCGGCCATCCATCTCAGTTGCAAACGGCTCAGCTCGGCCCAGGCAGCTCTAAGCAGCCGCAGACAATTCATAAATCAGACAGTGGAGCTGTGTTCCAATAGACCCTTATTTATGGTCACTGAAAATTTAAATTTTATACAATTTTCATGTGTCACAAAATCTTTTTCTTTTGATGTTACTTCTTCAGCTGCTTAAAAATGTAAAACCTACTCTTAGCTGGAGGACCAACAGACAGGCAGAGGGCCAGATCTGGCCTGCAGGCTGCAGCTTGCTTGCCGATCTCTGCTCTAGAGACACATAAATATTTGTGGTTCTTTAGACTGAACAATTTCATGCTTTCTTGCCTTCCCATACGTGGAAAGTTTCTTTCCATTGTTTGTCTGGCATTTCTTTGAGACCCATGTTGAAGACATTGCCACTTTTCACGGGTTCTTTTTTTTTTTTTGGTGGTGGCTTCTCTTAAGTGCCTCCAGCAAAACTAATTGCTCCTTTATCTCTGGTCTTAGCCCTTTATGGGGCCTCAATTACAGCTTTTATCATTCTGTACAGAAGTCATAGATCTGTGTCTGTTCCCCTCTTTACTTAACCTGTTCTTCTTAAGAGCAGATAGCGGTCTGGCCGTGTTCACCTTCCCATACTGTCACACGGTGGTGTCACACAGAAAATGCTTATTAAATTACACACGGTTGCCCACCTTCTGACAGCCAGCTGGAGGCAGGGCCAGACTAGAACTCAGACCCTCTGATACGCTGCAGTATTAGTTAAAATTGTGTCTAGCCACGAACAACTGTAATTTCTGATTGGCTGAGACAAGAATGGAGTGGGCTACATTGCAGCTTATTTATGAATTTAATTTAATTTTTGTTTCTCTGGGATAACATACACATCCACACATTAGGAGTTAGTAATTATTAGCTCAGAAGTGCCATGAATCACTGGGACTCTAATGCCATTAACCTGAACTGAGGTGAAATTGACCCTGTGCTGGTGATTCCCCAGGTTCACGCTTCAGACTCCTGTGTCCTGCTCTGCTCCTCCAGAGGCTGACCTCTGCGGACTGCTGGAGGACCAGGGAGCTCGTCCCAGGGAGCTCGTCGGTACAGCAGGTTAGACCCCAGGGCACAGAGCGGGCCAGAGCAGGCGTCTGTGCCCTGTTCCTGGCTTCCTGTTGGGTTGGCAGGTGGGAGGCACAGCAGATATGAGGGAGGAAGGGGGGATCTGGTTACTGGTTCCAGGGGCTCCCTCCTGCATCATGGGTTGGCAGTGGCCAGGCTCCTGTGTTCTGCCCAGAGGCCCCTTTCCAATGGCTCCAGCCCTCACTGTCCCCTCCCCTGACCCTCTCCCCAGCATGGTAAAGGCTAAAGGCTCCCCATCCCATGGATTCCTTGAACCCACCCTCACGTCTCTAACTGGTCCCTTCACTAAACCTTCAGCGTAAGCCCTGCAGTATGCTTTCTGTCTCCTGCTATGCCCCTGACCGAAAATGATCTTTGCCACTCTTTCAGACTGAATTTGCAGACAGGAAAACTTCGATCGGTCTTTAGGAGTTCCAGAGCTTTCATCCTTCACAGCAGTGGCTCTCAGTCAGGGGTGAGTCTGCACACAGGAGACAGTCGGCAATGTCTGCGGTGCCACTGGCATCTGGCTTCCGGTGGGCAGAGGCCAGGGATGCTGCTAGACATCCAGCAACTCGAGAGCAGTCCCCGCACAGCAGAGTCATCCAGGCCACAAGGTCGATAGTGCTGAGCCGGACAGACCCTGCTCGATGGAGCCACTGACTGAGTTACTAAGTGACTGGGGGATACCCTGTCACTATGTACACTCAGTCTGGAGAACCCCAGGAAGAGAAGGTCCCAGGGAAGAATCATGTATTAGTACAGTCAGCACGCACCTCGGCCGGCCATTCATGCCAGGCCCAGGTGAACAGTGCCGGCCGGGGTTCAAATCAGCACCACAACACACTATCGACGAGACCTTGAGCCAGCCCCGTACCCTCGCTGCAACTCTTCTCCCTCACCTAGGACATGGGGCTGGTGGGAGCACCGACTCCACACAGTTGCTGTCAGGACTGAATGAAGCCGTGCATGTCGAGTGCCTGAAACCGAGGAAGAGAGCCCTTCATAGGCACCGACACGCTCGAGTGTGCGAAGCCTGCTCTGGGCTGCGCTGAGGGAGACAGAGCACAGGGGAGACACAGAGAGAGGAGGAGGCAGGGCCTGCTTCTGCGGGGCTCCTGAGTGATGCAGTTTTCCAGGTTGTGGGCTGTTCCCCGCTACACACTTGTGAAATTCTTTCTGCAGTTGTGACTAACATTAAACACTGGGAAAGAAATTTTCAGGGTGCAACACGTTAAGTCAGGGTAAATACCACTGGGTGACCTTTCCCTTTTAGTTCTGCAGATATATGTGTGTGTACTGGGTTGGGATGGAAAATGTATTTTTTTTTTTTTTACAGTGGGGTGAGATTAACAAAACAAAGTTTAAAAGCTTCTCGTCAAATAGGAAAGGTGAGACACCCCGAGCACCGGAAGAGAAGGCCCCGTGGCGTGGCAGAAAACTCGCACAGGCTGCGAAGGCAGCTTCGCCGCTCACAGGCTGTGTGACCTGTGTGTGTCGGGCTGGTGACACAGCCTCTCTGAGCCTTGGCTTCCCCAGGGGGAACCAGGAATCCGCACATTTGCCGCTGTGCCTGGGGGAAGCTCAAAAGAGGCAACGGGCATACCGTGTGCAATCCAGGGTCTGGTGCACGGTAGGTGTGCAAGGCACGTGTGCTCCCCACCTTCTAGAGCCTTCCTGGTCTGGGTTCTCTCTGCCCATTGTCCGGCATCAAACCTTAACCTACAACCAAGACAACAGGGCCCTCGGCACACGGAACATGAGAAACACCCCGCGCCTATTTAATCAGATGAAACGACAGCCTTCATCGCTCTCCTACTTTGGAAAACACACAGAAGGGCCCAGACAGCCGCTCGCCCCCACAGAGGCCCAGACTCCGCAGTGGGGAGAGGTCTCCGGGAGGGCTCTCCGAGCGGGCCTTTGTGAAGCTCCTCGGCATAGGTGGGCCGCCTGTTTATTTTTCAAACATTTCAAAGGTGCTCTGCTACCCAAAGCTGAGGAAATGAGGCTGCTCTTAAAAGGCTCAGACTTTCAAGGTAATGCTTCTGCTGCCCGTGCTGCTTTCATCCCCGTTTCCAGCCAGAAAGCCTGGCCCAGGGGCCTCGTGGCAGGGGCTCCGCGCTCTGCTCTGCCAGGGCCACCTCTGGGGTGGGCTGCGTGCCGCGCTGCTGTGGCTGAGCCTCCGGGCCTCCGGGGTGGGGCTGGGGGGACAGGCCGCCAAGATCTCCACTTGGAATCAGGGGCTCCCTCCTCAGCGCACCTTCGGGGGGGCACCGACTATAGCTCACATTTGCTCTTCCAGCAGGCCCACTGGATGCCATGCTTTTGTGAGCACTGATTTCCCTCCCTCACTCCCTGGCTCATGCAGTCCCTCCCTCCCTCTGCCACTCACTCACTCACTCGCTCGCTCACTCAGTACAAGGGAAGCCCACTCCCCAGTTTACTCCCCAGAGCCCCATAGAGGGCCTGAGACTTAATAGGTGCGCAATCCAAGTTCATCATCAAATCAATTAGAACCAACATTAATTTGTAATTGGTAACAGTTAAAGGCTTAATGAGCAAGTTATAAAGCAAACCACTGGTGTTTATCTCTGTAAAGTTTGTGTACTTCAAATAAACTCGAGGTTGAAGAGGAACATCATAGTCTACCCCAACCATCCTTGGAGTTCGCATCTCCTGGGGTCCTGGAGAGCTCCCCGCTTTGGGGCTCACCCACCCCTCTCTAGAGCCGGTTCTAGGGGTTAGGAAATTCTTCACGACTGGGGCAGAGACCCGCTTACCGGCACTAGCCCCCTGCCACTCCTGGTCTGACCTCTCAGCACCGGGCAGTTCTTCACGGACCGCAGCCTCTCCGCCCTAGTGCTCCCTACGTTACTTTGCCTGGTGTTTATAGTGCAAATGAGAGAGCGAACTTGTGGCTGTTCTGCTTTATAAGGGATGGGCTGATCTCTGGTGGTTAAGAGGGTGAACTCCAGATTAAAACACAAACTAAGCAAACAAGAAGAACAGAGACAGAATCATGGATACAGAGAGTGTTTTGAAGGCTGCCAGATGGGAGGGGTGTGGGGGAGTGGGTGAAGAGGTGAGGGAATTAAGAAGTACAAACAGGTCGTTACAGAATAGACATGGGGGTGTAAAGTACAGCGTAGGAAATGGAGGAGCCAAAGAGCTTATATGCATGACCCGTGGAAATGAGCAAAGGTGAGAGGATTGCCTGAAGGAGTGGAGGGTGCTGGGTGGAGGGGGAGGCAAAGGGGGAAAAATTGGGACAACTGTAATAGCATAATTATAAAGTATAATTAAAAAAATAAGATGCAAAAAAAATCACACAAAAGGCCTTGGGAAACTGGATTCATTTCTCTGTGCCTCAGTTTCCTCATCTGTAAAATGGGAATGACGATGGCATTTGCTTCACAGGGTGATGATGAGGATTCAGTGTGATGATGCTTATCAAGTGCCCAGCATGGCATTAACAGTTATAACCAGCCTGGTCTGCAGAGGGGTGGCCTGGCCTGCAGAGGGGTGGCCTGGCCTGCAGAGGGGGCGGCCTGGCCTGTGCAGTTCACTCCCTGGGGCCCCAGACCGTGATGGCAGGTCAGAGATGCAGAGAGGCAGGTCTCCGGGTCTACAGCTAAGAGCAGGACCTCGGAGGCAAGTGTACCCTGAAGCCACAGGAGACCCAGTCTGGGATGGGATGAGCTCCCCCAGGGAGTCCCCTCAGCTGTCCACCCAGGAAGCATGGCAGCCCCGGGCCTACCTTGGTACTGGGCGCTGAAGCCGCGCTGTCGGTGGTTGCCATCCGAGGTGAAGTGCAGCCGCAGCCAGTTCTTGCTGCTGATGACAGGGGCTGGGAGGCTGGCTCCAGTGAACCTGTGGGGACAGGAAGGGGGCAGGGTCAGGGACCACAGATGGCTGGGACAGGGGGATGGGCATCTCGGAGGCTCCCCACTTCCCACGCATGCCTGGGCCTCTCTGCCCGAGCCCGGAGCAAAAAGGATGGGTCGTGTGGCCCTGCACCCTCCTGCCACCTGGGGCCTGAGTGGCCTGGGGTGGCTCCTCCAGAAACCCTTCCCACTGCTGGGTTCCCCTGAGACATTTTGGGGTGAAGTGGGACCTTCAGGTCTGGAACAGAGGTCCAGCCCCCCAAGGAGAGAGGTCCAGGCCTCTGAGCATAGGCCCCTCTCCAGCAGATGTCCACATACCAGCCCCCCGGAGAGGCCCAGACCCCCAGTGCAAGGTCCAGCTCCACGTAGAGGACCGACATCCAGCTCTCTGGCAGGGGTTCAGTGCCCTGGTCCCAGACAGAGGGTCAGCTACCCTAGCAAGGTCCCGTCCTGGGACCTCCAGGGAGTGAGGAGAAAGGGCGTGGGCAAACACCACAGGTGGTGTGGCCCCTCACGTGGGAGAGGCCACTCTGGCGCCACTTGCTGGGCCCTGGGCCTCCTCTGGCTCCTCCCTGGCCCCGAAGGCTCACCCCTCCTCCCTCAGGTTAGCCTCTGAGTTCCAGCCAGTCCAGCTCCGTGGGGGTGGAGCGAGCCTGGGTATCTCCCACTGCAACTGGTCACTGCGCCATCCTCTTGATCACTGCTGTCCCGGGCCCACTTCCAAGTCAACCAGATCTTTCATCCTAGAGTCAGTCACTCAGAGCACAGGAACCTTTGGTGGCTCCCCAGTGCCTACACAGGACTGGCCTTTCAAACTACACCCGGCCCTCTGCTCAGTGCTGGCCCTCGCCACCACACTGGGCCGCAGCCCTCCCCACTCTGCTGATTCCCCTGCTCCCCAGAAGTCCCCTCCACCTTCCCTCCTCTACCCCGCAGCCCCTAGCAGGCCAGGTGCTCAGTGTCCTCCCTCTGTTCCCACCTACGAATCAGGCACAAACCTCCGGATGCTTCCTGTGGGGCACCATCTCTCCTGTCTGCTCCCTCTCCCCAGACACTCTGCTGACATCTTCTAAGCATTCCACATGTTTCCTTTTCTATGCCTTTGCCTTTCTGCCTGGAATACACCCTTCTGTCACCCTCACCCCTGCACCACCCATGTCACCGAGGTGACTCTGGGAAGCCCTCAGGTATCACTTCCCCAGGAAAGCCTTTCCTCCTCTTCTTGGTTCTGCAGCCACACCGATTTTTGGTTCAGATCCAGGTTCACCACGAACTAGCAATGTGACCTAAGACCAGTTACTTAACCTTTCTGAGAATGAGAATGGTAACACCAGCCCCTGAAGAGTGTGTGGGACAAAATGAGAGGCCTTATGGGGTAAAGAAACTAGCCCAGCACCTGACACACATTAGCTCAGTCAGTATAACTACCCTCGCCCCTCCTCTGTGATGCCCCAGCGTTGTATTCCAATCATAATGCATTTATCCTGGGTGTGTGCCTCCCTCAGAAAACTCCTCAAAGAGGGCAGTGCAGCCTCTTGGTGAAGATGCTTGGACTCTGGAGGGATCAGCTGCATGACCTTACAGAAATTACTTAAGCGTTCTGGGACGTTATCTGTAACCTGAGGACCCTTACGACCCCTCCCTCGAAGCCTGCATGGATTAAACGAGATCATACACAGAAAGACCTTAGCGCAGTCCCTGGCAAACAGAGACCTCTTGGTAAGCGGCAGCTGCTCTTGCCTTCCTCATCATTGCACTGAGCACCTAAGAGAATGCTGTGCACAAGGCAGGAGTGTCAGGATTCCAGCACAAAACAGCTGGCAAGGTCACAGAAGAATTATTCTGGGAGTTTAATGGATTCTTTACAAAGGGGGACCCACTTTCCACAGAAGAAATGGTTATCTCTGGAGGAGAGAGCTGCATGGATGCAGATCTTCCATCCAGACTACAGCCAGTTTGTGCAAATCACCTAGAGGGAGCGGGGAATGAATACTTGGAACTCACTCTCTTCCCTCCCCTCCTCCAATCTCCTGCTAATGCTTCTGTTGATCCTGCCCAATTGACAGCCCCAGGCCAAGGGAGCACACTGAAGTGGGCCTACAGGTTAAGCCTTCCTAAGCATGGAACAGGGTGGAGAAGGAAGGGAAGAGGAGCTGGAGGAACAAATGGAAGAGATGCAGCATGCTAGGTCTCCATCAATACAAACTAAAAACGCTACCCAGCGAGCTCCACACCCTGCCCCACTGAATTTTTACTGTAATGAAAATGCTGACACACACTAAACTCCAGGAATATAACCCATATTGTTATGGTAAGAGCTATTATAGAAACCAATTACTGTATTTCACCAGATTCCATTTAAAACAGTTTATTATAGGCTGAGTCATTTACGTTTTCTAAGGAGCCACAAACAGTATTGTGGGTTGTATTTTTTTTCCCCAGGCCAAATTCAATTCTATCTCAATGACAAAACTTAGAGGCTATTTACATAAGGGAAGTAAAAAGAGGGAGAAATTACCTGAATAATTCAAAACCAAAAACTGTTTATTGCAAACTGGAATGCAGGGAGGGTGCTGGGGTCCCAAGAGCAGGATGGAAGTAACGGTCAAGATTGCAACCAGAAATCAGAGGCTTCCCCGCCCTTGGATCTGCCTGAAGCCCCCAGTTGCACAGCCTGGCAGAGCCCCAGGGGTCATCTCCCTCCTCTGCCTTCTCCCACGCCTTTGCCTGCTGCCAGGAATCTGGTTAATTCCTAAGACTTAACCTTGTAGGGTTCTCAGTTGCTCGTGCATCTTTACTCTGCTCTGTGCTGCTCCTGCGTCCTTGGACATAAATATTGCACATTTAACAGTTTTCTTTTTGCATCTGTGGAAAAACCGGGAGCTTCCTTGTTGGAGTGGGGAGGGTGCCCTGCCTTACTCAAAGCCCTCCAATAAAAAGTCCCGGCACATGAAGCGACGCGGATCACTCTCAAGAGCATTATGCCGGGTGATAAAAGAGTACACCCTGTACGACTCCGTTTGTATCAAACTCTAGAGAGTTCTAAAAGGTTAATCTACAGAGAGAGAAAGCAGATTGTGGTGGCCAGAGCTTGGGGTGAGAGTTACAGGTGGGGGCTGCCAGGGAAAGAACAGTACAGGGGACCTTCTGGGGTAATGGAAATGTTCTCTATCTCGAATGGGACGGTAGTGATATGAAATGTACACCTTGGACAAAGCTCTGAGAACTATGGGTAATTTTACTTTATGCACATCGCACTTGAACAGATCTAAGTAAAAACAAACAAATCTTTCACTCTGAGGCGCCAGCCCTCAGCGTAAAAGATCTTACTGTGGCCAACAGACCTTAAAAAAACAGTGTGCCTTCCTTCTTATCTCTTCATTCTTTATGCCCAGCCACGTGGTCTTGAAGTTCAAAAGTGGCTGGGCCTGCTCCCGACTCAGGGCCTTTGCACTTGACATTCCTGCTACCTGCTACCTGGCTCTTCTCCCAGGCCCCACCCCTCACTTCCTCCGAGCCTTTGATCCAATGCCACCTTCTTGGTACGGCCTTCCTGGTCTGACTCCCAGCCGTCTGTGCACCCTGAGTGCTCAGGCATGCACGGCTGTGCACACACACCCCACACACATCCCATTCTCCAGTTGTGGGAGCCGGAGCACACACTGCTTTTTTGCTTTTCTGCTTCTGCACTTGCTGTTTATGCCCTTCCCCATTGTACCACCTGGCTGCACAGAGAGGTTAAATAACTTGCTCAAGATCACACAGTTATTAATTGGCAGAGGTGGGATTCAAACCCAGGCCATTGCGCTCAGAGCCTATGTACTCAGCCACTGCATTGTACGGGCACATACCTGCAGGCATGAAGTTTAGGCTGACTTCCATTCTGTTCCCATTGTGCCCCTCCTTCTCCCTGCAGGATCCTCTTTAATTTTGTTCCCTCTTAGAATCATAATTAAAGGAGAGAAACACAAAGAGAGAGTCTCCCCTTCAAACCTTTCTGTCCACATTAATTTCACTACGGGGGGCCTGGGGAATTCCAAGTTCACCCAGGAAATTGCTATTGCAGTACAACATAAAATGTATTTAAGCAATTACACTCAATTTTTTTTTCCTTTTGGTAAATTGACTTCTGTTAAATGGGGCTTCATTAATGGAATCTGGCTCGGGGAGGATTAAAAAAAAAGTCACTCCCTTTAATGCGTGGAGCTGATTATGGGAAAAGTGGCCTTGAGTTCCTCTGCAGAAAGCTCCAAGTTCTTCTCTCGGTGACAGCAGAGCAGACTCTGCGGAAGGCACTTCCTCTGAAGAAGTGACCTAGAGTCCGGATGTCGGGGAGCTGAGAGCCACCTCTGCAAGATGACCACAGGGACTCTGCAAAGCACTGCTGCCTAAGTGAGAGCTGAGGGAGAGGAATGTTAGGGAATCTTGGTTCAAATTGCAGCGTTCCTGAAAACTGACATCCTCAGGGGAACATTCACTCATGTGCTTACTCATGAAGCATCTATTATGTATCAGGCACTGTGTTTGCCGGTGGGAGCCACTCTCACTGCGGTCCCCTGGATATGGGGAGTCCCTGCTAGGCCTGTAACCCACAGGAGGAGTCAGCTCCATGTTCCCCTCTCTCTGCAGCCTTCACTCTCGGCCAATAGCATCTGGCCTCGGTGCTCCCAGATCTCCTCCTGTGGTCTTTATCTCTTGTCTAACTTGCGTGCGCTGCCTGGATACGGTTCAGAGTTGGAGCATCTCCGCATTCCAGGGCCAGGCGCAGACCAGCCGTCCCTTCCCAAGGTTGGCGGGAGAATATGAAATACAGGAGGTATTTGCCACCTGATCCCCACTCCCACACCCTCCTTCCTTCCCACCTGCCCACTGAGCTCCTCCCTGGGGGATGGAACCTCCCTGGTTCCATCACGGAACAAGGGAAACCGTCTGGAAATGTCCTAGGCATGGCCAAAGAGCTCCAAGGCCCAGGTTGGCGGCCTGCCA